AAATATACGTACAAGGTATGATGTAGCACGTAATGAAAGTAGTTTGTTAGATTATGTATTGGTGGATAAAAGGTTGATGGGTAGGCTCCAGGATGTACATGTTTATAGAGGGGCAACTGATATATCGGATCATTATTTAGTTTTAGCTACAGTTAGAGTAAGAGGTAGATGGGAAAAGAGGAAGGTGGCAACAACAAGTAAGAGGCTGGTGAAAGTGTATAAACTAAGGGAGGAGGAAGTTCGGGCGAGATATAAGCGACTATTGGCAGAAAGGTGAGCTAGTGCAAAGATGAGTAGTGGGGGGGTTGAAGAGGGTTGGAATAGTTTTAAAAATGCAGTATTAGAATGTGGGGCAGAAGTTTGTGGTTATAGGAGGGTGGGGGCAGGAGGAAAGAGGAGTGATTGGTGGAATGATGAAGTAAAGGGTGTGATAAAAGAGAAAAAGGTAGCTTATGAGAGGTTTTTACAAAGCAGAAGTGTTATAAGAAGAGCAGAGTATATGGAGAGTAAAAGAAAGGTGAAGAGAGTGGTGAGAGAGTGCAAAAGGAGAGCAGATGAAAGAGTGGGAGAGGCACTGTCAAGAAATTTTAATGAAAATAAGAAAAAATTTTGGAGTGAGTTAAACAAGTTAAGAAAGCCTAGGGAAAGTATGGATTTGTCAGTTAAAAACAGAGTCGGGGAGTTAGTAGATGGGGAGAGGGAGGTATTAGGTAGATGGCGAGAATATTTTGAGGAACTTTTAAATGTTGAGGAAGAAAGGGAGGCGGTAATTTCATGCACTGGCCAGGGAGGTATACCATCTTTTAAGAGTGAAGAAGAGCAGAAAGTAAGTGTGGTGGAGGTACGTGAGGCATTATGTAGAATGAAAGGGGGTAAAGCAGCTGGAACTGATGGGATCATGACAGAAATGTTAAAAACAGGGGGGGATATAGTGTTGGAGTGGTTGGTATTTTTGTTTAATAAATGTATGAAAGAGGGGAAGGTACCTAGGGATTGGCAGAGAGCATGTATAGTCCCTTTATATAAAGGGAAAGGGGACAAAAGAGATTGTAAAAATTATAGAGGAATAAGTTTACTGAGTATACCAGGAAAAGTACAGTGGACCCCCGGTTAACGATTTTAATCCGTGCAAGAGGGCTCATCGTTATGCGAAATAATCGTTATGCGAATTAATTTTCCCCATAAGAAATAATGGAAATAAAATTAATCCGTGCAAGACGCCCAAAAGTATGAAAAAAAAATTTTTTTACCACATGAAATGTTAATTTTAATACACACAAACTGAAAAAGGCATGCACAATTACATGACACTTACTTTTATTGAAGATCTGGTGATGATTGATGGGATGGGAGGAGGGGAGAGCATTATCTTCTTACTGTTTAGAAGGGGAATCCCCTTCCATTAGGACTTGAGGTAGCAAGTCCTTTTCTGGGGTTACTTCCCTTCTTCTTTTAATGCCACTAGGACCAGCTTCAGAGTCACTGGACCTCTGTCGCACAACAAATCTGTCCATAGAGCTCTGTACCTCCCGTTTCTTCAAGACTTTTCCTAAAATGGGCCATAACATTGTCATTGAAATAGTCACAAGCACGGCTTGCAACAGCTGTGTCAGGGTGATTTTCATCTATAAAGGTTTGCAGTTCAAACCACTCTGCACACATTTCCTTAATCTTTGAAGTAGGCACAATGGATTCCACAACTGGCATAGGCTTCTCAGGGTTAGCCCCAAAACCCTTCAAAATCTTTCTTAATTTCCATACTAATTCTCACCCTTTTTACCACAGGGTTGGCACTAGAAGCTTTCTTGGGGCCCATGGTCACTTATTTTCCAGAAACACCACCGAAAACACTGTAATAATACGAAATATTCCGAGTGTATGCTTGGATGTTACCGCGGAGGCTGGCTGGTAAACAATGGGACGGCCGGCACATGTGAGGGCACATTGGACGCGTCTCGGACGAAAATCGGTATGCGGGTTTTTAATCGGTATGCGGGGCAAAAATTTTGCGATAAAAGTAATCGTTATGCGGAAAAATCGCTATGCGATGCCATCGTTATGCGGGGGTCCACTGTATACGGAAGGGTTATAATTGAAAGAATTAGAGGTAAGACAGAATGTAGGATTGCGGATGAGCAGGGAGGCTTCAGAGTGGGTAGCGGATGTGTAGATCAAGTGTTTACATTGAAGCATATATGTGAACAGTATTTAGATAAAGGTAGGGAAGTTTTTATTGCATTTATGGATTTAGAAAAGGCATATGATAGAGTGGATAGAGGAGCAATGTGGCAGATGTTGCAAGTATATGGAATAGGTGGTAAGTTACTAAATGCTGTAAAGAGCTTTTATGAGGATAGTGAGGCTCAGGTTAGGGTATGTAGAAGAGAGGGAGAATACTTCCCAGTAAAAGTAGGTCTTAGACAGGGATGTGTAATGTCACCATGGTTGCTTAATATATTTATAGATGGGGTTGTAAAAGAAGTAAATGCTAGGGTGTTCGGGAGAGGGGTGGGATTAAATTATGGGGAATCAAATTCAAAATGGGAACTGACAGTTACTTTTTGCTGATGATACTGTGCTTATGGGAGATTCTAAAGAAAAATTGCAAAGGTTAGTGGATGAGTTTGAGAATGTGTGTAAAGGTAGAAAGTTGAAAGTGAACATAGAAAAGAGTAAGGTGATGAGGGTATCAAACGATTTAGATAAAGAAAAATTGGATATCAAATTGGGGAGGAGGAGTATGGAAGAAGTGAATGTTTTCAGATACTTGGGAGTTGATGTGTCAGTAAGTAAGTAAGTAAGTAAGTAAGTTTATTCAGGTATACACAAATACAGTTACATAGAATTATCATACATAGGAGCATATGTGTAGAGAACCTAGGATAACCCAAAAAAGTCAGACAGAGTCGGCGGATGGGTTTATGAAGGATGAGATTAATCATAGAATTGATGAGGGAAAAAAGGTGAGTGGTGCGTTGAGGTATATGTGGAGTCAAAAAACTTTATCTATGGAGGCAAAGAAGGGAATGTATGAAAGTATAGTAGTACCAACACTCTTATATGGATGTGAAGCTTGGGTGGTAAATGCAGCAGCGAGGAGATGGTTGGAGGCAGTGGAGATGTCCTGTCTAAGGGCAATGTGTGGTGTAAATATTATGTAGAAAATTCGGAGTGTGGAAATTAGGAAAAGGTGTGGAGTTAATAAAAGCATTAGTCAGAGGGCAGAAAAGGGGTTGTTGAGGTGGTTTGGTCATTTAGAGAGAATGGATCAAAGTAGAATGACATGGAAAGCATATAAATCTATAGGGGAAGGAAGGAGGGTTAGTGGTCTTCCTCAAAAGGGTTGGAAAGAGGGGGTAAAGGAGGTTTTGTGGGCAAGGGGCTTGGACTTCCAGCAAGCGTGCATGAGCGTGTTAGATAGGAGTGAATGGAGACGAATGATACTTGGGACCTGACGATCTGTTGGGGTGTGAGCAGGGTAATGTTTAGTGAAGGGATTCAGGGAAACCGGTTATTTTCATATAGTCGGACTTGAGTCCTGGAAATGGGAAGTACAATGCCTGCACTTTAAAGGAGGGGTTTGGGATATTGGCAGTTTGGAGGGATATGTTATGTATCTTTATACGTATATGCTTCTAAACTGTTGTATTCTGAGCACCTCTGCAAAAGCAGTGATAATGTGTGAGTGTGGTGAAAGTGTTGAATGATGATGAAAGTATTTTCTTTTTGGGGATTTTCTTTCTTTTTTGGGTCACCCTGCCTCGGTGGGGGACGGCCGACTTTTTGAAAAAAAAAAAAAAAAAAAAAAAATGCCAACACTTTTATGTGGGTATGATGCATGGATTTGGAATGTTGCAAATCATTTTAATTTACAGTATAATGTGTAGACTAGCTACTGTTTAATCTAACTCTCACAACTAAAGAGATTGCACATTATAGCCTATAATGTATAGAATAGTTGCTCCCTGTAACCTATTAGTAAGTAAGCTTATTCAGGTAGTATACACAAATACAGTTACGTAGATTATATAGCAGCATATATGTAGAGGCGGGGTAGGGGTCGTCCTCGAAAAGGTTGGAGGGAGGGGTTAAAGGAGGTTTTGTGGGCGAGGGGTTTGGACTCCCAGCTAGCGTGCATGAGCGTGTTAGATAGGAGTGAATGGAGACGAATGGTATTTGGGACCTGACGAGCTGTTGCAGTGTGAGCAGGGTAATGTTTAGTGAAGGGAATCAGGGAAACCAGTTATTTTTATATAGCTGGACTTGAGTCCTGGAAATGGGAAGTACAATGCCTGCACTTTAAAGGAGGGGTTTGGGATATTGGCAGTTTGGAGGGATATGTTGTGTATCTTTATACGTATATACTTCTAAACTGTTATATTCTGAGCACCTCTGCAAAAACAGTAATTATGTGTGAGTGAGGTGAAAGTGTTGAATGATGATGAAAGTATTTTCTTTTTGGGGATTTTCTTTCTTTTTGGGTCACCCTGCCTCGGTGGGAGATGGCCAACTTGTTAAAAAAAAGAAAAGTGTAGAGAACCTAGGATACTCTAAAAAAAAGTCAGAGTGACTTACTTCCAATGGGATCTATCATAAGAGATTATACATAAGATCTGAATGTCACTGGCCATTGTCCTCTAATACAGATTTCTGTGAAGTCTACACACACAATGAATTTGTATCCATGGCAAGGTCATTTATGAATTTGTATCTATGACAAGGTCATTTTACTTGTAGAATTATTATAAATATTATGGAAGAGTAGGACATAAGTATAAGAATTTTTTTTTAATGCACCACCATCTCCCACCAAGGCAGGGTGAACAAAAAAATAAATGGGAGCAAGGGGTTACTAACCCCTTGCTCCCGGCATTTTAGTCATCTCTTATGACATGTATGGCTTATGAAAGGATTCTTTTCCACTTCTCCATGGAGTTTTAAGAGAATAATGTGCATATAAAAATAAAGCTAAATATTTAAGGTATCAGTTTTTTCACCAGGGTGAAGCTGCATGGGTAGGAGTCACGAGTGTTTTAGCTTCGGGACTAAGTGGTCTGTTATCTGGCCGGGTGACAGATCTGGTATACGGTCATGTGAAGCTGTCACTTATTGTGACCTTAACTGGAAACCTGACTTGCTTTTACTGGTTCTTCCTCTTGACCTGGGGCTCCATTACTGTCACAAAATGTAAGTGAATGTGATGTCAACCCTGAACTCTTAATGTAAGGAACTTGTCTTGCAATAACTCTGTTATTCATTTGTTTAGAAGGTGTATGGTACCAGGAGGCTATCAAATATAAGAGATGGAATGATAGAGTTGAGGTGTTAACTTTGCATATTGGAGCAAGAAATATTTATTCAAATGTAATTATGTGCAAGATGGCAGGAGAGTTGAAGTGATTTCCCATCAGTCCAGCCCTTGGGCATTTTCATCTTTCAATTTTGTAGGTGTGCAAGTTTTTAAGTAGTCTATTCACTGGTTTAGTAACTGGATAGAAGTCATTATTATAAACACTAGATGAAATATTGTTGAGAAGAAAGGTTTAAAAATATTGACACAGATGTATGTGCGATGTTCTGAGTGTATATATGTTGGTAGAATTACTGACAATATGTAAAGTAAAAGGACACAAGTGCAACTAATGTGACATTTTACTGTGGCAACAAAGTTCCTGGAGAGCGAAACATTGCCACAATAAAATGTCACATTAGTTGCACTTGTGTTCTTTTACTTTACAAATGTTCTGAGTATTATATTTTTAGGCTGTTTCACTTGCCAGGAGCTTCGTCAAGCCTTGGAATTTTGCATGTGTCAGTTTAACTAAATAATTTGATACTGTACTTAAGAGCTGCATAATCCTACGGGTTTAACGCCCCCTTGATTATAATAGTAATGTACTTGAGAGGCTTTAAAAGATTGCTTTGGCACTCATTCACAACCATGGTCTTTGATTTGTACTGTAATGTTTTATATTGAACATTATTCCTTTAAATTTTCAGTCTGTTAAGGAGGATGGACCATAAGTTCAGAATGCCTCTGGCCCAATCCATCTGAACTTTTGGTACTGAACTGGCAATACAGCTTTCATTCAGAAGAACAGTACTGAGATATCATGAATAGGGTCACAAAATAATCCATACTTGATATATTTGTTATTAATAATGGTGTAATTTTTTAGGGCAAATATACATATCTTTGGTGGGAGGCTTGTCGTTCAACTTTGCCTCGGTTCCCCTGTTCTTCGAGCTGGCTGTAGAGAGTGCATATCCATGCTCAGAAGTCATCGTTGGTGGTCTCCTTACTGCTACCAATAATTTCATTGGGCTCTTATTCCTCTTCATATTCTTCATTCCCAACATTGGTAAGAATCATATCAGATATTCTTTATCTAATGAATGAATTTTGTGCAGTGGCAGTGTTTAGACACTTGAAGCTGGAGGTGGTAGAAAGAAGTTAGGTAATAAGTACTAAATAATGAGAGATGCAATGATAATAATACAGGTGGACCCCGCTTGACAGTGCTTCACTAATGCAGAGATTTTCAGTTATACATATTCTTCATTAATACAGACTTCCTACAATAAATATATTCATCACTCATTATAAGCTGAGGACAAAAATATTTTTTGGCCTAGCTCTATTGCTCACTTACTATATGATAGTGTAAAAATGCTATCAGGCCTTCATATGCATTTGAAAGTGAAAAAAAGGTTGTGTTACAGTGCTCTTGTCTGACATGATCAGCTTCCACTCTTACAATGCACTACTTTGCTCAGAATTTACAACCAACCTACATTTTAGAAGTGAAAGCTGGATTAAATTTCCACCCGTCATAGACTTTTTTCAATTCACTCAAGACCTGACAATGACCTAGAATTAATTTTATAATCTCAACCAAGTGCCAAAGTCATAAGGGTCATACAGCGCATACAATGGCCGAGGATCATCTGAAGCATTGTCCACTTTTCTTATCTAATTTTTGTGCTAGTTTTGGATTATCTGGTCATTCAGTATTGTGGCATAGTCTTGACTGATAGACAAGTTACAGGTTCTGGAACTTGTGTCTGCATTGTACTATGGGTAATATATTTTTTTTTTTATTAACACACTGGCCGATTCCCATCAAGGCAGGGTGGCCCGAAAAAGAAAAACTTTCACCATCATTCACTCCATCACTGTCTTGCCAGAAGGATGCTTTACACTACAGTTTTTAAACTGCAACATTAACACCCCTCCTTCAGAGTGCAGGCACTGTACTTCCCGTCTCCAGGACTCAAGTCTGGCCTGCCGGTTTCCCTGAATCCCTTCATAAATGTTACTTTGCTCACACACCAACAGCATGTCAAGTATTAAAAACCATTTGTCTCCATTCACTCCTATCAAACACGCTCGCGCATGCCCGCTGGAAGTCCAAGCCCCTCGAACACAAAACCTCCTTTACCCCCTCCCTCCAACCTTTTCTAGGCTGACCCCGCCTTCCTTCCACTACAGACTGATGCACTCTTGAAGTCATTTATGGGTAATGTCTGCATTATATTGGTATTAAAGGTAAAGCTGCTATAACCTAATTTTCCATCTATTTGTGGGATATTTTATTTAAACAGTAACTCAGGAGATCTACTTTTAACAACCTTTTAATAGTCCTCTTAAAAATACAAAAGATATGTATGTGTTGTCAAATTTGATTATTTTTTCATTGCAGGTTACGAGTGGATGACATACCTGCTGCTAGGTGTGTCTGCAGCAACATTTGTTCCACTTCACTTTGTGCAAGAAGACTATTTCAGATCCAATATTGACCGTCATGCTCTTCTCCAGTCATCCTACCAGCCAATATGACAGAATAATAATAATCATGGAAAAAATTTTGCACAATTTTTTATGAATACTATTTCTATTTTAATATCTTTATTGCATAATTTTTTTTTAGATACTGTACAGATTTGCAGTTTGGAGAAGCATCTAAACTGTAGCATCTACATGGTTCTGGTAAGATAGTGATAGAATTGAATGATGGTGAAAGTGTGTTTTCTTTTTGGGTCACCCTACCTCAATGGAAGACAGCCAGTGTGTTAAAAAAAAATTATTTTGAGTCTAGTGTGTTTTTTATACATAGGCTGCTTTCAATTAATGGCTGTGGTTCTCATATAGTATTTTATTGCCTTGTTCACTGCTTGTGTTTGCACTTTTTAAAGTAGAACCTTACCTAAAAACCAGTACAGTTACAGCCTCTCCTCACTTAACAATATGTACTCATTTACTGACAACTCGGACTTATGATGGGCTCTCTGACCAGTATGCATACATAAAATAATGTATATTAGAGCTGATTTTCTCTATTCTGTTTATTGCAATATACAGTACACTACTGTGTAAACATACAAAATATACTAAAAATGTTATAACCGGTGCAAAAGTGACATTAAAACAGTATCAAAGATGGTTGATACAAACCCACTAACATTGTACTACAGTGGTACCTTGGTATACGACCTTAATTAATTCCAGAAGGCTGTTCAAGTGCCGATCTTTTTGAGTACCGAACGAATTTGTTTCCATAAGGACTAATGTAAAATAATTAATCCATTTGAGACCCCCAAAAATACACTTGTAAAAGCACTTACAAAAATACACTTACAGTAGACCCCTGGTTAACGATATTTTTTCATTCCAGAAGTATGTTCAGGTGCCAGTACTGACCGAATTTGTTCCCATAAGGAATATTGTGAAGTACAGTGGACCTCCGGTTAACGATATTTTTTCATTCCAGAAGTATGTTCAGGTGCCAGTACTGACCGAATTTGTTCCTATAAGGAATATTGTGAAGTAGATTAGTCCATTTCAGACCCCCAAACATACACGTACAAGTGCACTTACATAAATACACTTACATAATTGGTCGCATTGGGAGGTGATCGTTAAGCGGGGGTCCACTGTAGATTAGTCCATTTCAGACCCCCAAACATACACGTACAAACGCACTTACATAAATACACTTACATAATTGGTCGCATTGGGAGGTGATCGTTAAGTGGGGGTCCACTGTACATACTAATTGTTCGAGTTGGGAGCTGGATGTATACTGAGGTACCACTGTAGTATGCTCCTCGCTTAGCGATGAATTCGTTTACTGACGTGGTCTTAGGAACGGAACTCAGTCATTAAGTGAGGAGAAGCTGTATTTATTTTTTGATAAAAATGAGAGTATTGTAATTAGTAGCCAGTGCTGTGAGGCCCACAGGTCTAACACTTATTTTCAATTAAATACATGAAATATCAAATATAGTTAGTAGCTAGCTAGGCTATTGTAACTGTTCACACTTATCAAAGTGAGACAAGAGAACAGCAGCTTTTGAAGCATTTGAATTAGAAACCAGTGAAGGGCTATGTTAATTCTGTGGAGGCACAGCCTGTCTGGTGCTTCACTCTCATGGGGACCTTGTTAGTGTGGTCATTCAAGGGTAGAACCATCAGTTGACTGGCCAGTACCTATAACTTACAGCAGAAGTCGGCAAACTTTTTTGGCTATTACTCCAAAACAAATTTATATACAGCAAAATTACCCACTAGACTTGAAAGTCCACAGAATCTGGAAAACACAAGGAGCATTCAAATTCAAAATACTAGTTTATTGAATCCATTTGTCTGGAGAATACAGTCATACAAGCTGAAAAGTATGTATTATATGCAATAAAGTAATTTAAAAAAAATGAAAAATAAGCTGCATGAACCTTCATTACCTTCAAGATTTTCATTTTTACCACATTTGGAGCAGTTTACCATGGTTTCCCGACTTAAGACTTACAGTTACAGTAGTTACTGATAAAAAAAAAAAAAAACAGCAGCAGCAGAATTTTAATACTTTTAGTTTTGATTATAAAATGTTTTTACTATATTTTGTTCTACCATTGTCTTGTGTTTTATACATATTACAGTTTAATTCTAGGAAAACATTTACCAAAATTTAGATCTATTGTCAGCCAGTTAAGCTGCCTTGGGTGTTTCATGTGTTAGTAGGTGTTGATGAAGGATGTGTTTTAGCAGGTGTTGTTGATGAAGGATGTGTTTTAGCAGGTGTTGTTGGTGAAGGATGTGTTCATATCAAATATGAGCCACATGAGAAGGTAACAGTCAAGATGATAACTGCTAATGAATGCGACAACTGATGGATAAGATAGGATAGTATATTAATTATTCTTAAACTTTGCATCATGAAGAACTCCTAAACAGAGACTGGACATGGGTTTAGCACATTTTGTGAAAATAATAACATGGGGAGTTGGATCTAACCTAGGTCAAACCTGATTACCTTCCATTTCCAAGCATGGTATGATCCCTACGAGTTTAGCTTTTCCGTCATAATTATTATAATAATGGACATCATGTGATCTTGTATTATATATAATTCACCAAAGAATAACAGATCTGATATTACTTTAGATTGCATGGTAACTTGTAAGATTTATCTTATGTTGACAGTGAAAGGGTACACTTGTGTTTGTCAGAATCAAGGAAAGGGAAGGGGGTGCCTTGATGTTAGTGAAGGGCTCTTGATCTAGGGAACTGGAGTTACATTCCTTAGATGAAACCTGATTACCTTCTATTTCTCAGGTACTACTTGACCCCTATGGGTGAAATGCTGTCTTGTGAATTTACTCATAATTATGCTTGCTTGAACAGTGAATGACCTCTAATTTTGCATTTAATTTTTATATCAGCCATTGTATTACCCTTGAGTTTAGCACTTCCCCATCAATGTAATAATAAAATATAATTTCTTGAGTGATGGTGAAAGTGTTGAATGATGAAAGTTTTTTCTTTCTTTTTGGGTCACCCTGCCTCAGTGGGAAATGGCCAACATGAGTAATATACAGTGGACCCCCGCATAACGATTACCTCCGAATGCGACCAATTATGTAAGTGTATTTATGTAAGTGCGTTTGTACGTGTATGTTTGGGGGTCTGAAATGGACTAATCTACTTCACAATATTCCTTATGGGAACAAATTCGGTCAGTACTGGCACCTGAACATACTTCTGGAGTGAAAAAATATCGTTAACCGGGGGTCCACTGTATAGTCACAATACTGTGGCTGCAACAATACATGAATAACCCGACAATATATAGGTCTACACTCAGTGTCTACACTCTGAAGGAGGGGTGTTAATGTTGCAGTTTTATAACTGTAGTGTAAGTGTGCCTCTGGCAAGACAGTGATGGAGTGAATGATTATGAAAGTTTTTCTTTTTCGGGCCTGGTCACAGACCGGGCCGTGGGGGCGTTGACCCCCGGAACTCTCTCCTGGTAAACTCCAGGTAAACCCTGCCTTGGTGGGAGACAGCTGATGTGTTAAAAAATTTTTTCAGTCCGGCTTGTTCTACTGACATGTCACAGTAGTATAAGTTGGACCGAAACGTCATCATTAGCTTCAGTGTCATAAGTACGAGTTATTTGTGTATAATATTTTTCGTATTATTATATATTTATTGTTTTTGTTTTAATTTACATATTTAAAATTTTGAATGATAATTTGTAAATGAATTATGTTTAACCAAAGAATTTTAAAGCCAAGATACAATAAATAAATCTGCTGCTACTCAGATTTTAATTAAAATCCTTACTGTTTGTTGCGCTTTATTTCTTGCTCTTTTTTACTAGTGAATATGTTGTGTAAATACAGTGTGCTAATGTATTCATTGGATGAATTCTAACAATATGGTCATTAACTCATAGTTTTTTTTTTTTTTATTATCACACCGGCCGATTCCCACCAAGGCAGGGTGGCCCGAAAAAGAAAAACTTTCACCATCATTCACTCCATCACTGTCTTGCCAGAAGGGTGCTTTACACTACAGTTTTTAAACTGCAACATTAACACCCCTCCTTCAGAGTGCAGGCACTGTACTTCCCATCTCCAGGACTCAAGTCCGGCCTGCCGGTTTCCCTGAATCCCTTCATAAATGTTACTTTGCTCACACTCCAACAGCACGTCAAGTATTAAAAACCATTTGTCTCCATTCACTCCTATCAAACACGCTCACGCATGCCTGCTGGAAGTCCAAGCCCCTCGCACACAAAACCTCCTTTACCCCCTCCCTCCAACCCTTCCTAGGCCGACCCCTACCCCGCCTTCCTTCCACTACAGACTGATACACTCTTGAAGTCATTCTGTTTCGCTCCATTCTCTCTACATGTCCGAACCACCTCAACAACCCTTCCTCAGCCCTCTGGACAACAGTTTTGGTAATCCCGCACCTCCTCCTAACTTCCAAACTACGAATTCTCTGCATTATATTCACACCACACATTGCCCTCAGACATGACATCTCCACTGCCTCCAGCCTTCTCCTCGCTGCAACATTCATCACCCACGCTTCACACCCATATAAGAGCGTTGGTAAAACTATACTCTCATACATTCCCCTCTTTGCCTCCAAGGACAAAGTTCTTTGTCTCCACAGACTCCTAAGTGCACCACTCACTCTTTTTCCCTCATCAATTCTATGATTCACCTCATCTTTCATAGACCCATCCGCTGACACGTCCACTCCCAAATATCTGAATACATTCACCTCCTCCATACTCTCTCCCTCCAATCTGATATTCAATCTTTCATCACCTAATCTTTTTGTTATCCTCATAACCTTACTCTTTCCTGTATTCACCTTTAATTTTCTTCTTTTGCACACCCTACCAAATTCATCCACCAATCTCTGCAACTTCTCTTCAGAATCTCCCAAGAGCACAGTGTCATCAGCAAAGAGCAGCTGTGACAACTCCCACTTTGTGTGTGATTCTTTGTCTTTTAACTCCACGCCTCTTGCCAAGACCCTCGCATTTACTTCTCTTACAACCCCATCTATAAATATATTAAACAACCACGGTGACATCACACATCCTTGTCTAAGGCCTACCTTTACTGGGAAAAAAATTTCCTTCTTTCCTACATACTCTAACTTGAGCCTCACTATCCTCGTAAAAACTCTTCACTGCTTTCAGTAACCTACCTCCTACACATACACTTGCAACATCTGCCACATTGCCCCCTATCCACCCTGTCATATGCCTTTTCCAAATCCATAAATGCCACAAAGACCTCTTTAGCCTTATCTAAATACTGTTCACTTATATGTTTCACTGTAAACACCTGGTCCACACACCCCCTACCTTTCCTAAAGCCTCCTTGTTCATCTGCTATCCTATTCTCCGTCTTACTCTTAATTCTTTCAATTATAACTCTACCATACACTTTACCAGGTACACTCAACAGACTTATCCCCCTATAATTTTTGCACTCTCTTTTATCCCCTTTGCCTCTATAGTATATGAGTATATTAGTATATGAGTATAATTTGAAAAAAGGTTTATTCACTTGTGGCATATAACAAATTGCTCATTGACTCATCATGAGTTAGAGTTTTTGCTCCCTAGTGAGGAGTTACCGAGGGACCTCTCATGGTCCAGGATAGTAGTTTCCAGACTGGAGTTTGAGTTTACTGAAAAATTATCTTGATACAGGTATGTGTCCCATGGCTCAATCGCTAGTGTACTCAGCTCTCACAATATAATCCAAGGGTCGGTCCCCAGTAAGGCTGGAAATATTAGGACTTGTTTCCTTAAGACACCTGCTGTCCAGTGTTCACCCATCAGTAAAATAGGTACCTGGGTGCAGGGGCGTCGTAAGGGGGCGGACTGCCCCCGGGTGACACCATTTAGGGGGTGACACCATAGAGCCTCTAAAGAAGGTGACACTAATGCCCAAAACAGTGTTGCACCAACATAAGAGAAGAATCCTTCGTTTCTATATAGCCTATTATATATTAACAAAGTTCAAATAAGCCTATATAGGGAAAATCATTCATTTTGATTATGTGATAGATGATTTTGCATAACTGAAGGCAAGGAAATGTAAGATCAGATTCACTGAGATGTTACCTGTACTCAAGGTCAAATTGGAACTAGTATTTCTCTGATATTACAATGTTTTTCTTTATTTTTTAATTATTTTTTTTTGGCATTGTTGAAGATGAATAAATGTAGGATCTGTTGGCTGTACTCAAAGCGGTATTTGAGTTGATGTTTCCTCAATATTACTACCATATTTATTTTATCATTAATAAAATTGAGAAGTATTCTTTTGTTCAGTTTATGGCCCTTAAACGTTGTCATTGCTAAACATTAGTCACTGGTCATGCAGTAGTGATGTAACTGGTCATGCAGTAGTGATGTAACTGGTCATGCAGTATGATGTAACGGTCATGCAGTAGTGACGAAAACTGGTCATGCAGTAGTGATGTAACTGGTCATGCAGTAGTGATGTAACTGGTCATGCAGTAGTGATGTAACTGGTCATGCAGTAGTGATGTAACTGGTCATGCAGTAGTGACGTAACTGGTCATGCAGTAGTGATGTAACTGGTCATGCAGTAGTGATGTAACTGGTCCATGCAGTAGTGATGTAACTGGTCATGCAGTAGTGATGTAACTGGTCTCGTGTAACAGTAGTGATGTAACTGGTCATGCAGTAGTGATGTAACTGGTCATGCAGTAGTGACGTAACTGGTCATTGCAGTAGTGATGTAACTGGTCATGCAGTAGTGACGTAACTGGTCATGCAGTAGTGATGTAACTGGTCATGCAGTAGTGATGTAACTGGTCATGCAGTAGTGATGTAACTGGTCATGCAGTAGTGATGTAACTGGTCATGCAGTAGTGACGTAACTGGTCATGCAGTAGTGATGTAACTGGTCATGCAGTAGTGATGTAACTGGTCATGCAGTAGTGACGTAACTGGTCATGCAGTAGTGACGTAACTGGTCATGCAGTAGTGATGTAACTGGTCATGCAGTAGTGATGTAACTGGTCATGCAGTAGTGACGTAACTGGTCATGCAGTAGTGATGTAACGGGTCATGCAGTAGTGATGTAACTGGTCATGCAGTAGTGACGTACCTGGTCATGCAGTAGTGATGTAACTGGTCATGCAGTAGTGATGTAACTGGTCATGCAGTAGTGACGTAACTGGTCATGCAGTAGTGATGTAACTGGTCATGCAGTAGTGATGTAACTGGTCATGCAGTAGTGATGTAACTGGTCATGCAGTAGTGATGTAACTGGTCATGCAGTAGTGATGTAACTGGTCATGCAGTAGTGACGTAACTGGTCATGCAGTAGTGATGTAACTGGTCATGCAGTAGTGATGTAACTGGTCATGCAGTAGTGACGTACCTGGTCATGCAGTAGTGATGTAACTGGTCATGCAGTAGTGATGTAACTGGTCATGCAGTAGTGACGAACTGGTCATGCAGTAGTGATGTAACTGGTCATGCAGTAGTGATGTAACTGGTCATGCAGTAGTGATGTAACTGGTCATGCAGTAGTGATGTAACTGGTCATGCAGTAGTGATGTAACTGGTCATGCAGTAGTGATGTAACTGGTCATGCAGTAGTGATGTAACTGGTCATGCAGTAGTGATGTAACTGGTCATGCAGTAGTGATGTAACTGGTCATGCAGTAGTGATGTAACTGGTCATGCAGTAGTGACGTAACTGGTCATGCAGTAGTGACGTAACTGGAGTTTACCCCCCCATCCCCCCGCCCTTGAATTTCATGGGGGTGACACCAACTCTAGCGACACCTCTGCCTGGGTCGAGTCTTAGCTCCTGGCCCCGCCTCTTCACTGGTTGCTACTGGGTCCTCTCCTGGGTCGCATCCTGGGACAAAATTTATCTGACTTGCCTGAGATGCTCTACATAACAAGGGGCTTTCTGTATAGTAGTACATATAGTAAGACAAAGTTTATTTCTTTGTAAAGGTTACAATGTGTAATTACAATTTTGATTTGCTAAGTACAAAGATAACCACTATCATGCCGAGGCATTTTGTCATTGATGTCAGCTAGGCCTGTATACGTTGTACATCAATCAAAGCTAAGCGCTAAACTCACAAGGGTCATACAGACCACAGTGGAAATTAGACAGTTTTTAAGATAAGAGATTTCGTTCGGATTTTTAACCCCGGAGGGTTAGCCACCCAGGATAACCCAAGAAAGTCAGTGTATCATCGAGGACTGTCTAACTTATTTCCATTGTGGTCCTCAATCTTGTCCCCCAGGATGCGACCCACACCAGTCGACTAACACCCAGGTACCTATTTGCTGCTAGGTGAACAGGACAATAGGTGTAAGGAAACGTGTCGAAATGTTTCCACCCACCGGGAATCGAACCCGGGCCCTTTTGATGACGCACTGACTTTCTTGGGTTAAACTGGGTGGATAATCCTCTTGGTTAAAAATCCGAGCAAATCTTACATTAAAGTGAAGTGGTTAGACCCCTGGCTGTTGTCAAGGCTTTGGATAGGCACCTAAAGTCAGTACCTAATCAACCGGGCTGTGGTTTGTACGTCTGTTTACGTGCTGCCAACAGTAACAGCCCGGTTGATCAGGCCTTCCGTAGATCAAAGCTGATTACCTCCCATTCACCAGGTGATGTATGATCCCTATGAGTTTAGTGCTTTCTGTGATAAACTGTATAATCCTCCGGGTTTAGCGCTTCCCCCTTGATTATAATAATAATAATTTCTGTGATAAAGGTAATTA